AGCAGGAAAACACAAACAAAAACTGTCCGTGTCTGCAAACCTCTGAATGTCTACAAGTTTAAAAGTAAGTGCAGTTCACAAATCAGTTCTGGCTGTTCCTGATACTTTTTATTCTATGCTCATCATTTTCTGCATGGTAGTTAATAACAGGGGTCTTTTGAGTTGCTACTTCCATGATTATACACTGGTGACACATGGCTCACAAATGAAGCAACAGCATGAAAATGACTGCAGGACATGATTATAGTAAGGAATAATTGAATGCACTTAAACCTATGGGCCAGAATAAACTGTAGCCTGGCACTCACATAGTACTCTGTATATCTTCATTACCTTTCAGTGGGAATGCCACATGGAGAAACAAAAAGTTTACTATGAACAGTAGAAATTCTCACTAGCAATAAGGCAATATAGTCCAGCTGTACAAAGAATAACTTGCTTGAATGAATATTTAATGGCTGCTTAAAGAGAAGCGCACATGGAGTGAGGAGAACAAAGTTTGCCTTTCAAAGATTGCTCCTGTGTAAGGTCACGGCAATTTGTTTTGCATCTCTAATGGACTCTAGTATAAACTCCCTCTTTATTTTATAAGGTTTGTCTCTCTAATTCCTAGCAGCTACCAGACTGGCAACTGTGGAACACATGATATTTCAAGTATCCTGCAAAAACCGTCCCTATTCCTGTGTAGCCTCACAAATACTGTGTGTGGCTTTGGTACCTAAGTAAGCCCTATTGTTCCACATTGCCTTGAAAAGGAGAACTTAACTAAATCAGAATGCAATAGAAATGAGTGCCCAGAAGCTGCTGCAGCTATTCATTCTCTAGAAGTCTAGATGGAGACAAGCTGCTAAATAGTCACTGAGCTCAGTGTCTTGCAAAGTTTTTGTTCAAAACCAGTTGAAAGTAGGAGAAGCTCAAGGATAATAAAAGGTGAACCAAGAGTAATGCTTTGGAGAGATATAGGGAAAAAAAACAAATGTACATAAGTCTGTCACCTGTCCAAAACTCAGAATTCAGGGTCTAATAACCTCTTATGGCTACATGGATTCAAATCTCAAATTCTTGAGTCGACAGAGAAACCAGTCTCTTATTTTATAGGTTTATTAGTTTTATGAAAGTTCTTTGCTATTTTTCCTGTCTACTACTAGATTTTCAATCTCTTGCCTGTCTAGCTATGTGCATTCAACACCACACAGACAAAAAGGCTGCTTCCAAAGCAGGGAGCAATTTACTCGGGCTGCTTTGTTGCTCAAGATCCTTTTTCAGGCAGCACCTCATTGCTGAAACAAACTAATCACAAGCACACTGGTTTGGTAATGAAGTGCTATGGAGTTACAGGAGCTCTTGGGGCCTTACACATATTTCCTGAAAGAAAAATGAGGTGAGTGCTTAGCGCGGGAAATTTTGCACAGTTTTCTTGATCAATCGCATTTTTATTCTGGCATAAAATAAGCTAAATAATTGCCCAATGATTGGTAGATCTCAAGAAGGTTGAAGGTTCATTTAAGAAAGGTGTTAGTGATTACCTATAAAAGTGTGCTAGAAATCTAGTGAAGACAGGCAGTACACCAGTAGAGCTGCATCTGCCTTTGGGGGCTATTTTCCATGAGTTATATGTAATAGTCCGCCAAGATTGGCAAAAGGTTAATACAGGGAGTCACATAAGGAACATCACTACAGCGTTTGCTTTGGTCAATCAGCTTGATTGAATTCAGTGAAATGACACCACATCTCACTGCATACATTAACAATTGTTCTTCCTTGTTTAGACATAAATGGCTGCTATAAAAATAAGATGAGAGATTTCAGTAGGGGAGAAGTAGAATGGATAGCTGCTCTTGACTCTGTGGCCTGAATTAGGTCCGTAAAATTATGTCATAGGCATATGAAAAATCCACACACACACACACACCCAAGTGGTGCAGTTACATCTAACTAACTCCCAATGTAAACAGCACTAAATCAACAGGAGAATTCTTCCATTGACTTAACTCCCCACCCTCAGGGAGGTGGCTTACCTACACCATTGGGGCTATGTCTAGACTGCAGGCTTCTTTTGGAAGAAGTGTTTCTGGAAGAGGTCTTCCGAAAAATCTTCTTCCAAAAGAGAGTGTCTACACAGCAAAAGCACACTGAAAAAGCAATCTGCTTTTTTGACAGATCTCATCCACACTGAGTGGACGCTAGGATGTAAGCTGTGATTACTATGGACGGAGTGACCACCAGGGCACCTGTGTTTTTTCCTCTTTCCTCTTCTTTCAAAAGAACTCTCTCTTACCCGTCCACACACAACTTTTCTGAAAGAGCTCTTTCAGAAAAAAACTTCTTCATTGTAGAAAGAGGTTTACCTATGTTAGAAAAACCCCTCTGTTCTTTCAATTTTATTTCGAAAGAACATGATTGCAGTGTAGTCGTAAGTGAAGTTTTTTTTGAAAAACGACCTTTTTCCGAAAAAACTCTACAGTGTGGACGTACCCTGGGAGAAACCCTCCCAACAGCATAAAGAGTTTGTGCATGAAGCACTACAACAGCCCAGCCCAGCTGTACCCTTATAGCATTCTCAGTGTAGACGTATCCTGAATTATAGCAGAATTTTGCCAGTGTCATTCTACTGAAGTCACTTGACTTTCTCCTGATTTACACTGTTGTAGGTGAGAGAAGAATCCAATTCAAAGCTTCCTGTGGTCTGAAATCCTCTCCACATATGCAGATTTGGGGCTCAGAAAACAAAATCTTGTTACTTTACTGGTCAAAAAGTAGGAAATAGGTCTGTGGACAAAAAACAGGAGAAAAAAAGTGATTATTATTAATGTCCAAGAACTGTGTGCACACATAAGATGGCAGTCCTTACCTCTTGGAGCTTCCCAGTCTTAGAGATTCTTCCCTTTCTACTTATGGTGATATATTCCTCTCTTCCGTCTCGTAGGACTGTTTATATTTCTTGGTCTTGTTCTAGCAGGAGCATCCCCTTTTATCTTGTTATTAGACAAGCAGAAAAACATTTCCACTAAACAAATTCACTTATAAAAACAACAGCTTGCCAAATAAGGTGATCGCAGGGTAATGGTGTGTGATTTAATGAGGGGCAGCTGAATGAGCAGCTAGCTCTCCAAGGGCCTGTCTCTTCTGCCTCTCTCCTCATGTAGTCATGGCTGTCTGTGCAAAGTGAGTGTAAAATGTTACCATTCTGATTTGGTGTATTTGACTCTCAGTTCAGACAGGTGTAAATAATTACCACAGGTACTAGTGGAGGATCAGGCCCCAGCGGAATTCGGGATGGAACTCATTGTTGGAGCCCAGTTTTTAGAGAGAATCTAGGAGCAACAGAGAACTGTCTGTGACTCACAGAGCATGAAACTGTCTGATCAGAATGCAATACAGGGCAGTCATGATGGGTGTAAATATACAGAGGTGTACATTTCATGAAAGCAATATAGCTGGGCATTCGAGCACGACTCTGCAGTGTACCAGTTTCTGTTTTCGTGTCACATAAGCTCCTGTATGAAATTCGGAAGTGGCTCTCTGTTGCTTCTAAACACGCTGCAAAGGGGAATGTCAAGGTGTGCGGGGCAAGGATGGATGTATAGTAATAGACTAATCAGTAGAAATTCTCCACTTAGTAAAATTAAAACTTTAATACAACTAGCTTACACACATGGCACAGCCTCTAACCTCCCACCACCACCACCACCATTTCCCCTGTCCTTCTCAGGATCTCTCATTGTGATGATTAGGGTTTTTTCATATACGCTGAATCGGAAATCTATAAAACCATTCAACACGGATGAGGCTGAGCTGGACTTTTCTTTAAGCCTTCCAGAGGCTGCCACTGCAGGGAGTAGCCATAATAATAAACAGATGGGACCAACATTTAAAACAAAACAGCACAACTACTTTTTTTACATGGATTAAATGGAGAAAAATCTTTTGTATCTATGTAAACAAAAAGGAAATTCAACCAGAAGATGAATTTGGAAAGATTCACCGATTCTCTCTCAGATCCTGAGATGCTGAGTGTGGGCTACGATCTAATAGTTTTGCAAAAAGCCATTAATTGACCTGGGATTTAAAAAGCATAGATATACTAGGTCCCCCTGAATTGAAGGTTACAAACCACCCTTATGCAGGGAGCTGGCAACCTTTCTAATCATCCCACACCACTTCATTCACAGTTGCCATAGCA